GGGGGCTTTTAGGGTGATTTAGTATGAGTTAGTAAGTAATTAATAAACTATTTAAATCAACATTTGTATATTTTATTATTCAGGCATTGGTTACTATGTATATTAATAAATGCTTTATTAACTCAACTTCATCCAGTTGTGTGACCAAGTCTAAAGTGAGGACTATTTATGCTTTGTAAATCCCTTATGAATTACAATCAGAGGCTCAGTACAGTACAGTAAAGTTCAAACATTTCTAAATAACAGAAGTGTCAAAATACAACATAACATTGCATAAAACAACAACAATATAATAATTGAACAATATATTGCAATACAACATGAAAATATTATTTAGCGATGTTTAAACTGTACGGTCATTTTATTTACACAGATTTATTTTTTATTTGATAGTTTTATTTGTGTATCTTCAAATGAATAGAAATGAATAATGTTGTTTATTTTATTTTCTCCTGTTTAGAATTTAACTGACCCTTAAATTTTCATTTATAAGGGATTTACAAAGCATAAATAGATGCCACTTTAGATTATGTCACAAAACTGGAGCAACCCAGGCTCATTCTGATTACGTACCCCTATATATATTCCTGGGGAGAGCAATTCATGAACATAAAAAATTAAGTTGTCCCAATGAATCAAGAATTATGTAGTTTACGCTCATTTTAAATAAGTAGTTTGAATGAGCAAGAAAAATTATAATAATGTTTTTACTGTTGTTAGTTCTTATTAACTTTTGTTAACTTAAGTTAACAAACAAGCACCACTTTGGATATAATAATAAATTTATTAATGTTAAACTATGATCAATAAATGCTGTGTGTCACTATCACTAGCGATCTAACCAGCATAGATCGCTAGAGAACATTCACACGAACTACAATCCTTCCTCAAAATGAACTACAGATCCAGTCATGCAACACACACACACCTGCTCTAAGTCACCATTGATTACATTCCCACAGCTGATGCTGCTTATGGACTGACTACACACACAGATACAGCTCACTTTGAGACACTCGAGGTTGAGTCTTGTAAACTGATTGTAAACATTACGACGCATTTTCCCTTGCCTTCTGTGTTTAGACCTTGCTTTATTTAGTTTGTTTACATTGTATGCTGCCCAGGGCCAGATTGACATAAGGGCTAGGGCCCATGGAAGAAAGGGGCCCTGGATTGGCTCAAGAATTAATTTGGGCTATGACGCAGGAAACGCCTCCTTGCATTACGCTTTTCTCTCGTTGTTAATGTAAGTATTCCTTTCGGTTCGCTGCTGTTCAAAACAAATAGTGCTGTTCAGTACAAATAGTGACACCGGTCCTAAACTCGGGCTCGGAGTGGCTGTAGCCCAATCAGAATATTGAATAACCTTGTTTTAGTCACTCATAAGGGTGATCAGATGTCACAATTTTCCCAGAATCATGCTGAATGGACTTATGACTGAAGCGCAATCTCGACCACGCGGCTGTTACAGACTCAAAAACCGACGCGCGCCAGTACAATACATCACACAATATAACCCAGACAGTGCTCGGACAAATTAAATAGCCTACACAAGCAGTAATAAAACTGTCCATCATTGTGGAGTATGTATCTGAAGTAAATACATACAGTTATGCTTTACAGTAAGTCTAAATGAACCAGTTAGAAATAAAACTTTTTTTTTTTTATGAATGTTTGCTTTGTCCCTTTTATTAAAACGACAGAAATAATATGAAGCAATGAAATATTGGTGTTGGCTTTCATCAGACAATATATCCAATGCAATAAATAAATAAATAAACAAACAAACAAAATAAAATAAGGATACTATAGTCTTCTGTGACTCTGAAGACCACAATATTTTTGATATTAGAAGCATGGATTTTATAGATATCCTATCAATAGGGATTTAAATGTCTAAAAAACCTGTTAAAGGTAAACCCCTATTAAAAGCATTCATTATAAAGCACTAATTTAGGAAATAATGCAAATGATTTTGTTTTGCTGATTTTTGCAGCCTGTTTGAACTTTAAAGTTCATATTATGTCATTACTTAATTTGTATAACCTACTTGCAGGCCTATTTTAATAAAATAGAAAAAAATCTAATAAATATAAATCAAACAGTGGAAAATTAGATAATAGTAATATTAATCAGTAAATTATTAATAATACTAATATTAATAACAAGAACAACCATTGCTTGTCTGACCATTCTGTTTAATAAAACCTGCAAAAAGATCCTCACTCTATTGTCCAGCGTCACTTCACGTTACACTGTGCATCCAACGCAATCTCACTGCAATTCGTAACATTTTAATTTAGTGGCTAATTTGTATTATCTAACTCATACAATTTAGTACGATTTGCTCATCACCCAATGACGGTCGGGTTTAGAGGCAGGGTTGGGTGCCACGCCTCATCTATAAAATGGTACATTTTTGTTTGAAGCCAATACACTGAAAAAACTTAAAACACTTATGTTTCCTCATGGGATCAAGTTGATGTATTCGTTTTTTTGTTAGTTAATGTTAAATAAGTACATTAACTATTGGAACCTTAAAGTATTTTAAGCATTACCCCATTTTGATTGAGTTTTTTAACGTCAACATCAATTAAATTTACAGTTTTCCTTCCCCCGAATTTCTTAAAAGTTTATCAATTAATTTTACCCATTGAAAATTGATTAGATCATGAAAATCAATAGTTCTTCTGGTCGCACTTTACTTTGTTACTTCCATTATCATTATTAAACCATTAACTAAAACCTTTAGCTCAATAAACAAATTTGCTGCTAATTAGTTAGTATATGGCAGTAGTTGGGATTAGACATTGGGTAGGATTAGGGATGTAAAATAAGATCATTCTTTATGAGTGTTAATAAACACACTATCTAATTAATTAGAGGTTAATAAGGCAATAGCTAACAGTGGAAATTGCTACTAAAATGTTCTTCAATAACTAACCTGAAACAACTGCTAAAATCGTATGAACATTTGTTTATTGTTTATTATGATAATGTAAATAATTTTCCCTGGAACAATGTAAACAAGGACACATTTTACATTAATACTTCTTTCAAATGTCAAAAAGACATTGCTAATTTACTTTAGCATGTGCTTTAGCATTTCTGTTCACGTCTCACAGATTTTAGAGTTTGTCCTCCAGAGACACATGCATGAATGCGAGACACTATTCATCAAAAGGGCAAATCCCTTAAGACACATGACCTTTCTTTTCTGGGCTCATTGATTTGGACTATGTGGTGACTATGACAGTCCAGTCACTTACTAAAACAATAAATAAAAAATCACGACCAGAACTAGAAATCTTATTATCTTTCCTCAATTCTATTGTGTTTCAAATCATATAAAGTGCTCTGTTCTTGCGAATCAATCTACAAACTGCATTCTAAAGTGGAAAAGGCTGAAAAAAACCCACACTTCAGAATTGCTTTGTGCATATGTGTAACGAGGAATCAACATAAATAGGTTACAGGGTCTGTTGATTGTGACCCTCGTGGTTCAGCTTTGCTGGCATTATGATGTTCTGCTGGGATGCTGTTCATCCAACTCAAGAGCTCTTGGAAGCCCCATTAACGCTGTGCTAACTCATCATGAAAACTGCTCTTTAGTGTTCCAGATACTCGTCCAACTAATGCAATCAGATGATGAATGATTGTATGTCTGTTACTATGGAACTGAGGAACTGCGTGTAATGTAAACAAGAAAATGATCCAATTTAATGATCTAATTTTAGGATTGATGCTCTTTGGGTTTCGTAAACACACAATGGTTAATTTGGCAATTGGTTAATTTGGTTAATTGGTTAATTTGGCAAATAATTTGGTTTCTGTTGAACACACACACAACCAAGATTTTTTGAAGAAAGCTGCACACCACTATTTGTTTTTCCTGGAAGTCAATGGTTAGGTTTTCAGCTTGCTTCAGAATATCGTCTTTAGTGTTGAACAGAATACAGAAAGTTATAAAGGTTTGGAACCAAGGTTTGGAACCACTCGAGTAAATAGTGATTAAATATTCATTTTGTGTGAACTATCCCTGAAATGGCACGCCAAGAGAGAGCAGAATCCAAAATTTAAGAACTGGCTTCTGTTCAGTTCATGAATTGGAGTTTTGAATTGAATTGGCCACGTCCCACAGGATGTTGAATAGGAATGACAGGAAGACGAATTTATTGAACTCGAATGCAACCAACACACACTCTTCTGGGATTTCATTAAAGCTTTGGGACAAAATATAAGCAATCAATTCTGGCAAATGATTCCTGTTGACATATATGTAGAAATGCATTTCTCAGCTAGCAATGAACACACACAGCCATTACAAAAAATATGATTTCACTCTTAAAAATAAAGGTTTCAAAGAGGGATTTTTACAGTAATACAAAAGACAAAGAAATATTCTTCTTTAAAGAACCTTTTAGTGGATAGCTAAAAAAAAAAACATATTGTTCTAGCTGCGAGGAACATTTTTAAGAATCTAAAGAAACCTTATTGTGCAATGGAAAGCTTTCACATTGTTTTTTGTAGAAAAATCCCTCATATGCAAAAGAGTATTTATATCTACGAGTGGACTTAGTTAACAATCGTTTATTTTATTATTTATGAGGATTATTTATTTATTTAACTCAGTTAATTGCGGTGTAACAATTAATCAGTTAAGACAACAACATGATTACTTCAATATGGTAAACCTGGAAAATGAAATGCATTAAAAATGAATGATAATTTATAGTAATTGTATAAAAAAGTATTCATTTTTTATATAATATCAATATTATAATATTTATTTAAATATATCGATAATAATTCACAAAAAAAAAATCTATGTTTTTTTTAAACTACACTTTCCATTGAATTAATTACATATGTTTTCTGAATTATGTATTCTGGACAGCCCTAATACGGACACCTGCCAGGTGCCATATTTAATTGGAAATCCGCATTTCTCAGTCTCATTGATTATTTCAGAACGCTTAAAAACATTAAAAGCCACTCACCTTATTTGTAAGATATGGTCCCAATTATGAAGGGGTTTACAGCGCAGCACGCGCTATAAAGTTCGCGCATCCCCAACGCACGCGACAGCTTGCCGTTATTCTCCCTGCTGGATCAGCAGCTCATTCTTGGAAGAAAACACCGATACAGTAAAACCATGTCCGTGGAGGAAAAAATAAAAGCACTTTTTTCGTTTTAAATCATAAAGCGCCGGCAATAGATGGAGATGAACTTTAGGAGCAGGAGTGCTTCAGCGTGCACGCAGGCTATGTGGGAGGAACTGCTCTGGGGTCTGTCCATGCAATGTGACGCTTTTCAACGCAATCATCAAATCAAATGACAAATGATTGTCAGTGCATTGAGATCTGGGGTAGATGGCTTGACAGCCGAATCGTTATGACACGCGTAGCTCTATTTCGGTAATGCATATGCCATCCAGTAAGCCTCCAATTATAACATGCTTTGAGGAGGACCGAGTGTTATATCATTCTGACACTACTGTCAAACTGACATCATACAATGCATGAGTGATGGCTGTGATCAGAATGCGCAGTATAACCAATGCATTTCAGGAGGATTTTTATTTTCTGAGTGCAGTTTATCTCAACACTAATGTGTGCTAAGTAGATTTGTGGGTGGACGATTCAGGTGCTTGTTTCTGGAGGGGTTTTGACCTCAGTACAGAGATCTACATCACACCTGAGACGCTGCTGAACAAACATGTGCCCAGATGTGTTACAGCTGTTACAATGATGTCATCTCAAATGACAGAGAGTGTTTATTAATCATTTTTCCAAACAGCATCCTCTGTCGTATTTGGATGTAACATGTTGCTGATAGCACGTTATGCTTGTAAGGCAGGGGCTTTCATTTTTTTAAATGACACAGACCTCCAGATAAGATCATCCTAACTTGTGCAAGGCTCCCACTCCAACACGATGGCGCTAAATGCCACTAAAAGTGGGCTTGTAATTATATGGGAGACACTTTAAGTGCTATACCAACCCTATCTGGTTGGCTATACAGCACCTTTATTTAAAGTTGCTAAAACACATTTATCAAATGGACGTACTGTATGTAGAAAGGTTTTATACTCTCGTTATTTAATCGCTATGTATGGAAATGTACTGCAGCAAAATCTGTTTTGAAGCTGTTTCTCACTTTCATGCTTTTCTAAGGTCAAAAATTGGGCCCTGCATTATGGAAGGCGTTGGGGGCAAAAAGGATAAGGACCTTCATCAGGATATCTTTAGGAAATATAATGTATTTTAATGCTGCTGTTTTATTTTTTTTCCAGCTAAACATAAAGATAACCTTGAAAAAACTACTCACTATTCTTTTTTTTTGTATGGCAGTGGTATAGCATGGGGTGCTATCAGGTAGTATAGCATGCAGTGCTATATTGCTATGTGATTTTGCCAAAGATAGTACAATCCTGGATCATCATCTTTATTGTATGTTATAAAATGTAGTCCATACAGTTATTCCTACCCCCAATAACCAACCTGTAAATTGTTCCCAAAATTAATATAAGTTCAATATAAGTTCGATATAAGTTAAAAAAAAAACTGGGTTGTGCATTATGGAAGGCCTTGGGGGCAAAAAGGCTAAGTTGCTTCATCAGGATAATGTCAGGAAATATAATGTATTGTAATGCTGCCATTTTAATTTAATTAATTTTCCAGCTAAATGAATAGACAAAGGGAACCTATTCATTATTTTTCTGTATGTCAGTGATAGCATGGGGTGCTATCAGGTAGTGTAGCATGCAGTGCTATATTGCTATGTGATTTTGCCAAGGATTATACAATTCTGGATTAAAATCTATGTTGCTCCTTAAACATAATTTTTGTTTGAAAATATAATCCATACTGTAATTCCTACGCATAAACCAACCTGTAAATTATTTTCAAAATCAATTGTAATATAAGGTCAAAAATTGGGCCCTGCATTATGGAGGGCCTTGGGGTGAAAAGAAAAAGTACTCATCAGGATATCTTCTGGAAATAATGCATTTTAAGCTGCTGTTTCGATTTTCTCCAGCTAAACAAATAGACTAAGAGAACCTTGAAAGAAACAATCTTTTTTTTTTTTTTTTTTTGTATGGCATAGCATGGGGTGCTAGGTGGTGCAGTGCTTTATTGCTATGTGATTTTGCCAAGCATAGTACAATTAACATTTATTTTGATCTTTGAACATCATTTTTGTTCGAAAAAGTAATCCATACCTACAGTAGTTCCTACCCCCATAAACCAACCTGTAAATTATTCCCAAAATCAATCGTAATATAAGGTAAAAAATTGGGCCCTGCATTATGGAAGGCCTTGGGGGTGAAAAGGCAAGGACCTTCATCAGGATATTTTCAGGAAATAATGTATTTTAATGCTGCTGTTTTGATTTTCTCCAGCTAAATGAATAGACCAAGAGAACCTTTAAAGAACTATATAGTTTTTTTGTATGGCAGTGGTATGAGGTGGTATCAGGTGGTATAAAATGCAGTGCTATATGCGATTTTGCGAAGGATAGTACAATCCTGGATTAACATCTATGTTGTATGTTGTAAAATGTAATTCATACCTACAGTAATTCCTACCCCCCAAAACCAACCTGTAAATTATTCTCAAAATCAATCACAATAGTTTGATGACAATCATAGAAGCAGAAGATCGTAACTGTAAGCTTACATTTTTAAGAACATTTTTCAACCCAGGCTCATTCTGAAAATGTACCTTTATATACATTTGTGGAGACTGTCAAATACGTCTCATGAGCTATGTTTGTTTGCAGCTTTCGTTTTCGCAAATCCATGAGAGGCCACTGCATGCTTTTTGAGATCTCAAATTTTTCTCGGGAGCGCCATTCGCGCTTGCTGTTCTCACATAAATTTACTAGAGGCCGCTGTCGACTGACTGTTTGACTGACCGACTGACCCACCCTCCCCCTTCCTTAAACCCAACCAATAGTATGTTCAAAAGCATAGATCGACCCGTAAACACCCTAACCTAAACCTAACCGACAAATTTAAAAAGCAATTCAGAAAAAGATAAGTCCTTGTCTGGTTTTTACCACATTTTACCACATTCTCACCCTGTGATTTACTTGTTTATTTTATTTTTTGGCTTCTGTTTTTGTCTTACCCACTTTCTGGAACCATTTTCACTGGACCCAAACTCTTTCATCGTGGTCATCTCCAGTGGTGTAGTCCTAAAAAAAAGGTGGTGTGCTATTACACCCGACCCAAATTTCAAATTAAAGTAGGCAAAGAAACGACGAAAGTTAATGTTTCCTTGATTCATCATAGATATATAATTTATTTATTTTTTTACATCAGTTACCTGTAATTATTAACTTTCACGAAAGGAAAAACAAATAGTATGTCAATGTAAGTCAATGGTTACAGGTTTCCAGCTTTCTTCAAAGTATCTTCTTTTGTGTTCAACAGAAGCAAAAAAAAAAAAAAAGACAAACCCTTACAAGTAAAGGTTAAGTAAATGATGACAATTTAAATTTTTTGGGAAAACTATCCATTTAAAAAGAAAACAAAAATTGTTCTTTTCAAAGCGAGATGCTACACAGTTAAGATGCCAGACAGTCTAATCCTATTATATTACTGCCCCCCTTATTTAATCTTAGCTTATTTATTAATTTTAAAACTGAAAAAAAAGTAAATCAAGATAGTTACTACAATTTAGTTATCTTATTTAAGTTAACTCAATAGGGCCTGTGCATACATGTAAAGACAGCTTTTTAGCTAACTTTCTTTTCTGGTTTATTACTTTATATGTTATAGGTTAATTCCTTTTAACATCAATCAGACATTATTTTTAATTATCACATTCGTGCATGCTTTTTTTAAAACCAAACTATTAGGAGTCTGTCTTCTGTTGTCGCTATTATATACTAGTAGTTGAAAAAAATATAGCTTAAAGGGGCTAATGATTTTGTCCCCAAAATGGTGTTTAAATTAAAAACTGCTTTTATTCTAGCTGAAATGAAAGTATCTAGAAAGTAGTAGAAGAAAAAAATATTATCAGACATACTATGAAAATTTCCTTGATCTGTTAAACATCATTTGAAAAATATTTTAAAAAGAAAAAATAAATTCAAAAGGGGGCTAATAATTCTGACTTCAACTGTATGTATATATATATATATATATATATATATATATATATATATATATATATATATATATATATATATATATATATATATATATATACCTTTAAGCTATATTTTTTACTGTTATGCGATAACTTGCCTAATTACCCTAACCTGCCTAGTTAACCTTATAAACCTATTTAAGCCTTCAAATGTCACTTTAAGCTGTACAGAAGTGTCTTGAAAATATCTAGTAAAATATTATTTACTGTCATCATGGCAAAGACAAAATAAATCAGTTATTAGAAATTAGTCATTAAAACTATTATGTTTAGAAATGTGTTGAAAAAAATCTCTCCGTTAAACAGAAATAGGGAAAAAATAAATAAGCGGTCTAATAATTCAGGGGGGCTAATAATTCTGACTTCAACTATATATATATATACATTTTTAAGTAAGAATTTAAAATAACACACTTAATCTTTGACATATGATAGGGCGATCTTAATTTGTGAGTTAAAATAAACCCATTTGGTAAACAGTTAAAGGGTATGGGAATACACGTAAATTAGGGAAGTTTATTCAGAAAAACAATCAGGTTATACGCAATTATCGATCCTCAGAAGTGGTAAAACCTAAACAGCTTGTGGAAAAAAAGTAAGCATACTGAGTATATGTGCGTATAGCAAGGACTACACCACTGGTCATCTCCTCTCTGCATCTCAAGTACACTGACGTACATGCGAGCTAACTGGACAAACTGTTAAAAGCCAGAAAGCTGTCCATACGGAGGTAAGCAGTCAGCAGGTAAGCACAAAAAGGAACGGCGTCATACTGCCCCGTAGCATTAATTTAAAAAATGAAATGCAGCCATTTGTACTTCAGGCTACATAAATCACGATTTCCAGAAATGTATATAGAGCTACATAGAGTATATAGATTTGCCATTTGTTTTTGTAATAATTAATTTTCTTTTTGGCTGAGTCCCTTTAATTATTTTTTTTTGTATATAACAAAAATGTGACAATAAAATATACATCACAATAATATTTACATTTTTGTTGCATCAAATTTAAAGGAAAAAATAAAATAAAATGATGCAAAACAAATAAAATGAGTAAAAGAAAAAAGAATATGATGTTTTAATTAGTGACAAACTATTCTAGATAATACATTAAGAAGAGATTGTTGAAAATACATCCATGAAAGGCACGCACTAGATCATCAATATGACAATTATTTGTTTTTATAAATCTCTTGAAGTGGGGAATATAGTTCACAAAGTGGGGGTCGCGAGACAATGTGGCGGGGGTCGCATGGGTACTTCCAAAAAGTCTTATATGTTATTAAACTAT